GTAACATCATGGGCATGGTACTCTGGTTGCTAGTTTGGCAGCACTGTGGTGCTCACCACCACTCTCTGGGTTGATGTGATAGCAGGTGGGAATGCAGGCATGAAGCTCTAATCACTGGTCATGCAGAGCAGATGAAGGAAGGCTGGGCAGGTTTTGGCTGACATCTGTCATAGATTCAGTGGCTGTGGAGCAGGTAGTGGCACTTGCCCAGTGGTAGAGCAGCAGAAGTGGTGGCTATGGCTGTGTAGGGTCACTGGGGAAAAGTAGAAAAAAGGTAAAGGAGGTAAAGAGGAAGAAAAGAAAAAGGAAAAAAGGAGCAGGAAGAAAAAGAGCTAAGAATAAGGAAAACTGAGAAATAATAGAAAAAGTAAGAAACAAGAAAAACAAAATAAACCTCAAGAGTAGAAAAACACTGATAGAAGCACTAGCTCCCAAATATGACTGCAGCAGGAATGTGGTGCTTGTTCCACAGGAGTTTTCACTGCTGAATGTGGAGGGTCTGAGGCAGGCTATTGAGCATGAGGTGGTGGTGGGTAGACACTTGATCTGCGGTATCAAAAAATAAAGGGAGGGGAAGAGGAAGAAAAAAATATGGATATGAGAAGAGGGAAGAACTAAGAAGAAAGGAAAAGAGAAGGAAAAAGAAAAATGTGGCATAGTATTGGTGTTAACATTAGCCACCAAATACTGCTGCAGCAAGCACATTGTGCTGTCTTTGCAGGAACATGCACCACCATCCATGGAGAGATGGGGGTGGGTACTGCTGCCTGCGGAGAATATGGGTACCCATCTCCACAGATCAAAAAGGAAAGTAGGGGAAGAGAGAAGAAAGGAAAAGAGAAAAACAAGGTGGGGAGATGGAAGAACAAAGAAGAAGGAAAAAGGTAGGGGAATACAGCAGCACAGTAGTGGTGAAAGTATTAGCCAGCAAACATGGCTGCAATGGGAACACAGTGCTTTCTGAATGGGAGTATGCACCACTGAATGGGAAGTGACATATTTGTGTGCTACTAATCTTGGAGGAGCTCTAGTGGCGTAGTGCCTAAG